TTAAAGAAATGGGTTGATGTAGCACATAAGCTAAGAGAGGGAGGGGAATTAGGAGGAGGAGGAGCAGAATGGCCCTGAGATCCAGAGGGGATCCCAACAGGGGCAGAGAGAGAAGAGAGACTGTCAGCTAGGATGGTGGTCTTCTCCTCCCCAGAGGTCTGCTGTGAAGTTCTTTGTTTATAAGTGAGACTCCTGACACAATGATGAGTAGATAGGGGACAGACTGAAGTTACTAGACTGCTCCAACTGAGGTTCAGTAGGCGAGGATGTGGCTTTCAGCAGGCTCCCAGGTCCCCATTGGAGGGCAAAGGATGGTTTGAGGCTAAAGCAGCTGACAAAGTGTGGGAGGTGGCAGAAGAGTGTTTGACAGCTCCAGGTGCCTGGGCAGCAAGCAGCAGGCACTTCCCCAGCTCAACCCGGCCTTCTTGTCTGCCCTGCAAACAAGAGCAATCTGACCCTTTGCTGAGAATGTTAATAGGGGGGCTTATTTGGGGCATCTCTCTTCACACCTCCATAGCCCAGTGAGGTGTGAATTGTACTGACCTTGAGGAAACATGGCTTTCTCCTCCTCAGATGCCAGGAGGGATGTGAACCAAAGACTAGAGCCCGAAAACAGAAGCGAGGTTTTCTAAGACCAGGTGTGAGACAGCCACCGTTTGGTTTCCTCCCTTTATAGAGTTTTGGGGGAAAGGCATTTTGAAAGTCCTTTGAGAGCCATTGGCTCTGAGCTGTGTCTCTCTTAGTGCTGTATTTCTCTCAGACAGGACGTTATCTAATTCTTTCTTAGAAATTAGTAGTGAAGATCACCTAAAGTCCAAAAATCTTGACTCTTCTTGATTAGAAAATTCCTCCTAGTTCACCCTAATTTCATTCCCCTGAAGTTTATGCCCATTTCCTTATTCTTTGCTCATGGGAAAGTTTGTTCATATCCTCTCATAATTCCCTTTCACATGGTTAAAGACTTTTTCTCCAGCAGTTCCCTAAGGGCTGTGTAGTCCAGATTGATGTTATGAATTATGGCCTGGAGAGGGAAGAAACAAGATGGACACATTTGCAGAGTGAAGGGGGGGTGTGCATGTGTGTGTGCGTGTGAGTGTGTGTGTCGTCAGTGAATGGTTACCAAAACATGGCAAATGCACAAGATGAACTGTGGCTTTGAAACATAACCAGAGATTTCCAGGGATCCCAAAAGTACCAGCATTTCTTAGAGAAACATTAGCAGATGCTTAGAATGTGGCCTTGGACTTATCAGAAACCTGTCTGGAGGAGTGTGATGGGAAAGGCATATGTGACCTCAGGAACACCTCGTGAAGGACAAGAATGTCTTCTCATTGAAGACCATGAAACTAAGGTCAGAAAAAAATAAAAGGACATAGACATAGGCAACACTTCTCTGAGAAGACTTATTGCCCTTCCCTGCGGCAGTCTTCCCCTCTGCTGGTGCCTTTCGCCCTGGCTCACTGTCCTTCTCCCCAGCGCTGCTCCAGTCATGATTCCTGGTGATTTCCACAGCCATCCTGCCAACCTCTGCCGGGCCTTACACCATGCCTGCTACTCCTCCAGGAATTTAGTCCTCCCCTGCTTCACCCTTGTTCCTTGGTCATTGTCTAGATCAGTAACTGCAGCCCCTCTATAATCTGAATTATAGCATCCCATTCTCTCATCCCCATCTCTATGACAGAGATGGCCAATTGCCCACCCAGATTTACATGATCTCTTCCACAGTATCATGATCTCTGAGTAAAATTGATGAAAATCACTCCTGAACCAAGGCTTTTAAGAAATTAGTTCTCTATTTCTCCTTCCACCTCTGGTCAGCTCAACTAGGCTCAGGTGAGCAGCACGGAGCTGTCGGCAGTGGGGGTGGGAACCAGGGACTGGAAGGGGCACCCACCACCTCCTAGCTCAAAAATGCCTCTTTGCCGAGAGGCTCAGGGAGACCACCATGGAGAACAAGCCACATGCTTCTCCCAGGAGGGCTCTGCTTCCATGGGGCTCAGATTCTGAGAGGTGGGGTTTCCCATGGGAGCTAGTGGGGGTGTTGGGGTAGGCCCCGGATTCATGGCACTGCCCAGGGAGAGGCAGAGTGTCATGGACTATTCACTACTTAGTCTTCCAATCACAATAGCTTTTCATTTCCCTCTTTTAATCTAGACAGCCACGATCTCACCCTCATTCCCTTTCTGACTGGCTTTAGTATAGTAGGTCCTCCTAGTCCCTGTGATAGATATTTTTTAAAGGTAAAAGTATAAACATTATTAGTCATTGTAAAGTGCCACAAACACCATTTACCGAATTCTCAGCTAAAAAAGCAAACACCCAGCAGAGATACAGGAATAGCAAGAAAGAGTCCACCAAGGAAGGGGGTGGGGGACTCCAACCAATGCTCCCCCGTCCTCAGTCCCCATCCCATGAAGTCGTCCGCTCTGCATAAAGCTAAGGCGGTGCCATCAGGGAGTCGGAATATCCTCCCATCTCCCACCACCCTCCCTAACCCCACGGTCACCTTCTAGAGGGGCCAGGAGCTGAGGAATAGGGCTGCTGGCCCCCTGTCGAGGTGAAGTCTGGGGTTCTTCCGCATCTGCTGGGCTGGCTTCTTTCACCTTCAGCGTGGGTCCTGAGGCCACCTCCGGTGCCGTGACTGCCTCCATGCTGGGCCACCCAAGGCTGGGCTCCAGCGGCAGATTTTCACTGTTGGTGCTGAGGGAGGGGCTGAGCACCTGCTCTTCAGCCTCTCCAGGGGTCCCTGCCATGGGGTTATGTAATTGGGCTGGCTTCTCCCCACCCCGCTACTCCCAGAAGAAGGGCTGAAGCAGGGCTGGGGCAAGAAAGGGGGATCAGACAGCAGCCCAGAATAGCCACAGGAGGAGGGCCGAGGTGGCCCTGTTATCTTGGGAGTGAGATGACACCCCTCACGCAGCACCAGGGAGGGAGGAGAGAGCTTGAGCTTCAAATAGCTCCCCCTTCTCCCCCACGCAAAGACCATCCAGACAGGGCCTCTGGCTCCTGTGGGGTTGGGTGACATCTTGACTTCTGACCTCCAGCTCATCCGACATGGTGTTCAGGTCCAAAGAAAGGGGCCCCAGAATTAGCTGAGTGACAGGCACATCTTTAACTGCTCTTTCTCTCTACTCCCATATTCAATGAGCTGTAAATTTTTAACTTGACCTTTTTTTGTTGTTGATACTCTCCTGAAGATATTTTTTCCATTGATTTTTAGAGAGAGTGGAAGTGGGGAGGGAGGGAGACAAAAACATTGATGTGGAGAGACACATCTATTGGTTGCCTCCCACACATGCCTCAACAGGGGTGGGAGCTCGAACCTCCAACCCAGGTGTGTGTCCTTGACCAGGAATTGAACCTACCACCCTTCAGTGTGCCTTCAGGGGAACGGGTCAAGGCTCTAACCATTTAGCAACACCAGCCAGGGCTTGTCAACTTGACCTTCAAGGGTATGTCCCCATTCTCTCCCCCTCTCCCTAGTAACAGTGGAAGGTAGTCTGCACTCTGGAGCCAGACTACCAGGGCTCATGTTGGCCCATCACCAACTAGTTGTGTGACTTGCGACACATCACAGTCTGTCTTAGTTGTGTTTCCTCATCTGAAAAATAGAGATGATAGTAACCATAGGGTTGCTGTGAGGATTAAGAGAGGCAATCTGTGTAAAGTGCTTAGCAGAGTATAGCTGACTAAGTGCTCGATAAATGTGAGCTATTTTTAGGTCAGGGCACTTGCCCCTTTGAAAGCTCCCTGGCCTAGGAGATAAAGTACAAAGAAAGTGAGAGGCAGCAGGGGGAGGAGGAGAGCCAGGGGCATAAGGTCAGAGGACTTGAGTGTGACTTTTGGCTATACCGCTCACTCATTAGCTGGGTGACTCTGAGCCAATCACTGCCTCTGAACCACAGGTCTTTGGTCTGTGAAACAAGGATAATGAGGCTGGGGTTGAGTTGAGGATAAAGTGATAAAAATGTAGGGAAGTGGCCAACCCACAGTAGGTGTCAAGTTACATACTGAAGGTCCTATATGATTTCCAGTTCACCAAACCATCATTCTACGTGTGAGTACTCCATCCAAATGATCTGGTTTCCTGTTGTGCTCTTTATCCCCAGAAGCCAGACTGTGTATCCCCTCGGTATATACATCTCTATTTCTATATAGACTTTATTTTTAGAGGTTTAGGTTCACAGCAAAGTTGAATAGAAATATGGAGTTCCCATATACCCCTCCCCACTAGGCCCTTATTTTTTTAAGGAAAAGTGAGTGTGGTTGAATGAATAGGCTCCTTACTCATGGTTACCTTTTAGCTCTCAATTTGGGGGCAGAGTCAGTAGGATCCCAATAGTCTGTGTTAGTCTTGGGATGTGGGACAGAAGCCCTCTTTGTGACTTATATAGGGGCTCACGACCAGGACACACTGTACACACACTTTGGGGTGCAGGAACCTGTTTATCAGGTTCAAGGGGGGGGTAGGGCGGGGTCAGCAAGAACCTCTCCTAAAAGAAATATTTTGGATGAGAAGAAAGGGGCAACTCTTTAAAAGGCCTTAAATGAAATGGATCAGGAAGGACTATGAATAAGAGCAGCAAGAGAAATGTAAGAGGAGCAAATGGAAAGATACCAAAGTTAAACTTCAGTGTTGTCATTTGTCAAACCTGCTATAAGGAACATATAATTCAGGAGAGTAATTGTATGTTGCTGTGTCCAGAGGAAAAGTAAAGCAGTTGAAACCTGAGAAGGTGTGCAGGGTGGGTCAGTTAGACTTTCTGGGGGAAAGAACAAGAAAGCTGGTCCTACAAATACCCATGGGAAGTAGATCTTTATGAGCATAAAGAGGAAGAAAAAAAGTAAGTAGTTTCCCCCATAAATTATCTTAATACCTTTCATGCTATAAATGTACAGTCCTGGCACTTCAATTGGCTTGTGTGCTGGTTTGGTTTGATTGCTGAAGCTAGAAACTGGAAAAGCTATCATAGTAACAAATTGTAGTTTAGTCATTTCAGTAGGTCAGGTAACAAAGTCCCAGTCTGTTTTATTTCTAACCCAAATATTGCAAATATACAGAAAATTACCAGTACAAAGTTAAACACATCCAAATTTATTTACACAATGCTAAAGAAAGTTGAATTTTGTTTCCATTTTGTGGAATTTTATTATGGGGTCTGGCTTTGTTGTGTAAATGACATGGGTTGTTGAGACTTGATTATCCCACCTCACATGCAATTTTCTGTTCCAAGGGAACAGAAGACTGGTTTGTTTTTAGCGCACATGCAGTAATGATCTTAATAACTGCTTTACACTTTAGTAGGAAGGCAGCTATCCCCTAGTTTGGGGAAGAGGCAAAGATACAGAACAAGAGGGACCACATGCTCAGAAAGGGAGCAAGAGACAAGAGGGGGTTGAACAACAGGCACATGGAGACCCTGAGCATTTCTGTGCACGAGGATGAGGAGGAGGGTACGACTAAACCCTCTTCCCTAGATGTCCAAACACAGGAGGTGGGCAGACTATCAGGGAACATTCAGTCACCTGACCACAAATGGAGGGCATGCGGAAGAGAACTGCAGTAGAGATCTGGGACACATCAATAAATCATTAGCATGTACACTATACAGTTTATACATGTATATATGTACATATATATAAAGGTACAGATTAGTTTGTTATTTTCTATAAACAAGAACGCTTAAGAATGCACTGGTGTGAAAAAATGCATACAGCAAGTTGAAGACAATTTCAAATTCATGTTCCGATTCTTGTTATAATGTGACGTAACCAGGAAATCAACATGCTGCTGCGATTTCAATCACCCTCCATGAGGGTAAGGCCTGGGCTCTGCTGGGCAGGATGGTGCTCCCAGAGCCGCCTGAGCTGGGCAAACGGTGGCAGATGGGACAGAAAGCCTGGCACCTGCTGAGTGCCAGGGCTGAAAGTCTGGCCCCTCCCATCACTCCATCATGTGGCAAATCTGAAACTTTGGTTTTGTTCAAAGGACATTTAGTCCATGCTTATTTTCCTGCTTGAGAGAAGGTAGTAGCAAAGTTGAAAGCTGAATCTCTTCCTATTTGAGCAGTTCCAAGTCTCCAGGCTTCAAGTGGGGCGAGGGGGCTGTACCGACAATTAGCAGGATAAGCTCTGAGCCCATGCACACAGGGGCAGGGCTCTTAGAGCCCTCCTAAAAGGGAAGAGAGAATCTCTACTTGGATGATTTGCCTGGAAAATAAAGAACTGGCGTGGCAGGTGGCCTGCCACCTGGGGTGGGTCTGGACAAGCCAACACTCCTCTCTGTATCCCTGGTATCATGACAAAGGCCTTGGGAGAACCAGCAGGAGCTGGAGGTGGCCAGCGAATTACTAGTCTGTCGGGTGAGAAGCCAGCTTGGGCATGCAGAGGCCCTGAGGCAGACCTGGCAGGTTCTATGTGATAACTAACCTATTGAATCTTCTGAGCCCAACCTAGAACAGCCACACACTCTAGACACTTTATTCTTCTACGTTTATTTCCATCCAAATGACAGCCTAGGTGTATGCATCCCTGGTCTCTGGTCTCACTGAAAACCAAAAGCCCCCTCAGGTCTAAGATACCTGTCCACACAGCAGGAAAGATGGCAAGTTCTCCACCTGCATTTAAGAGCTCAGACCCACTTTGGATGGTCTGATATGTCCACTCTCTCTTATGATGATAAATTTTATTGCTGAAGCCACTAGAAATAATAATCTCTTCTGCTATAATCAAGCCCGGAACTTTCTACAATGATATGCTATACTTTACTTTCAAAGATAAGGCTCCTAACCCAACGTCAGTAGGACAAATTAGAGATCTTTTTTCTTAGATGCAATCATGGACTTAGGCTGTTTTGTTCATTGGCTGAGGACATATACTTGTGAGTGAGCAGGCTGATGTAGAACACTAACTAGCTGATAAAGGGAATACACCAGGCTTGTTAGCAGTCCTCAAACCAACTGAGCCAGCTAGCCAGCCAGGGATGGGAAATGAGGAGAATGGAAAAGTGACTCTCAGTGGAGAGTTCATTCCTGCACTCTTAACAGTGACCCTTAATGAGGTGAGAAGCAGTTTCTAAACACACTATCAAAACTATCATTGTTTTTAGCCAGGAAAAACAGGAGAATAGAATTTTTATCAAGGTGGCAAAAGGGCACTAAACACTGCTCTGAAAGAAATGCCACTGATTCCTGCCCCACAGAACAGCCAGTCTGCAAGGAAGGAGCCTGTTCAGGGAGGCAGCACCTGCACACAAAATGTTCCAGAGTTCATGTTCCAGCCCACACTGCTCGTGATATACAGGGGCCCTGGACAATTTACTCCATTTTTGTACCTCAGCTCTATCTCCTAAAAATGGGAAATACAACCCTATCTTTTATCTCACAAGAATGTTGAGGTTCAAATGACATATTGCAAGTGAAGCTGCTCTGAAAACTACTAATTTCTACAGAAATCCCAGGTATCATTATAAGCAAAGAGTCCTACTCTTATATGCTTAGAGAAGAATATTAACTTTCCTATAAATTAAAGCTGATTAGCGAATCACCATATCTCAGCATGTCTACCCCAGTGAGTATATGCTAGGGGAAAAGGTGTAGGTGAAATAGATCTTTTCTGAACATCAAATTCACTTTGGGCAGGCCCAGCTCAGTGGTTGAGCATCGCCCCATGATCCAGGAGGTCAGAGTTTGATTCCTGGTCAGAGCACATGCCGAGGTTGTGGGCTTGATCCTCAGTAAGGGGCATGCAGGAGGCAGCTGATCAATTATTCTTTCATATTGATGTTTCCATCCGTCTCTCCATCTCCCTTCCTCTCTCTACAATCAATTTAAAAAAAACACTTTAAAAAATTCACTTTGGGCAGGAGGTGAGGATGTCTGGGACAAAGGCTGACACTCTATCCTTTGTGAACTGGTTTATCTTTGGAATTATTTTTTATTTAAAAACCTGCAAAATGAATGAGCTTTTCCTAAAAGATGAGTGCTCTCTGGCTCTAACAAATACTAATTTTCTTCACAAAAACTGCTCTCCCTAACATTATTTTCTAACTGAAGCTCACTGACTCATTTAATTTTATGCAGTTTCCAAGTCTCTATAATTCTCTGTCCACTCCCTCCCCCACTTTCCCTGCTGCTGTTATTCCATTCTGGTGAGGAGAGAACTTTAGCCATCTGCTCACACATTCTGACAAAAGTTAATTTGGCACATTTACTTTTTATGGGCTTTCTGGCCATAAAATGAACTAGCAGCAAAATGGCAGTTACCAGAGAATGTCCCAATCATACTTATTGGGAGAAACCGTGACCAGCACAGCAGGTACGCCAAGACCAAAAGCATACTATACTATATTCCTGTATAGCAAATATTCAAGCCGTATTAAAATTAATTATTGCAGCTTTCCATGACTAGATGGCCACCCAAAAATCCATCTCACTACATTCTATAATTGATTGAATTTGAAATAAATGTCAAATGGAAAACTCCCTTAAATTTAAAATATGAACTTAATGTATCACACAAAACCTCATCTTACACTGGAAGCGTTTTCAGTTGGTTCAGCCAAAAGGTTCATGCCAATAAATTACTTGGCAAAGCTGGGGAGAAGGGGCAAGGAAGAGAGCTGGCAATAAAATTCTGATTTTAAAAATAAAGCCTATAAATCTGAAAACATGTCTAGTCCTGGCTCCACGTACAACAAGCCACCTAAGAGGAAACATGTAAGCAGCCAATTGAATGATTCACCACTGAGCCAACACAGCAGGCAGCAGGGCACGAGGAAGCCCATGTTCCGTCCGCAGGGGCTGCACCGCCTGGGCAGACACCCCGGGCAAGCCCCGCGCCCTGTCCTTGAGCAGGTCTGCAGGCACACACACAGCATGGCTTGAAAGATCTCAGAGGAAGGAAGAATTTCTCCTTTCATAGTGCTCTATCTAGTCAGTTCTCTGCTGCGCCCTTCTTCCTGCCCCTAGTTAAAAATATTGCCCTTTAAGTTCTCCTGATTTAGTGTCTTGGAAGCACATGGTTAAGTTAGTCACCAAAGGGCAATTAACAAGGGTATTGCCTAATTAAGCAGGAAAAAGGAAAATCACTGATCTATGGTCCCTGGAAAAAATAAAAAAGGAGGATCGGGTGTGCAACATTCTCGGAGGAGGGCTGTCCCCAGAGGCAGAAAGGCTGCCCAGTCATGCCAGTCACCAGCGCCTCCGTGTTCATCTCTGCAGCTGCTTTGTGTCACCAGCAGAGCCTAGGGACCGCACCGGCTACTTGTGAGGGTTGATGCTGGAGTTGGCAGGTGCCCTGGGGCAGGCGCCATGCAAAACATGCAGGAGTACAGTTAGTGAAATGTTCCCTTCAAATTCCATTTCATTTCCCGTAAAAAACAAAAACAAACCCCAAAGAGCCCATACTTTGCAAAAAGACAACTTGAAATAAGAGGTTAAAGATTTAAAAATGTCTCCCCCTCTTCTCAGAGCCAATTGTGAGTGTTTAGGGTTTTGCCCCCACCACCCCCTGCATGTCTTTAGTAGAGGTCCTTCTGGCTTTGACGGAAGCAGCAGAAACAGAGCTGGATCCCTTGCAATGGGAAATTTATTTCCCCAAGTCGGAGCCACAGGGAGTGTAAGAGGTACTGTGTTTCCATCATCCATGTGCGGTCCCAGCTCCTTTGAAGAGCTATTCCAGGAGGTCCTGAAAGACATAAATTATATTATTTAACAGACTAAAAAATTCCTATTTTGAAAACAATTACCTCGTTTCTGGCTGACCGAGTCATAGTCATTAAGTTTCTGCTTCTAGCTTATACCCTCATTTGTCTCAATCACATCTTGATCATGCACAGGAAAAGAATCACTCTTTTTTTGTACTTCTGGATCACCCTCAAGAAGAAATGGCTCACCTCATCTGAGTCATCATGATAACCACTTTTATTGGTGTGGGAGGCTGTGTCCAAAGCATCCACACCGTCCACACCATTAGCCTCTGCATGCTGCTGCAGCACGGAGTACCGATGCACCAGGAACCTGCGAATACAACCCTTCATGAATCCCAATGTGCTGAGGAGGGTGTGTTTATTATAGCACCAGCTTTTCCGAGTTTTATACACTCAGAGAAGGAGTCACACATACAGGAAGCAGGCCCATAGTTGGCTTACGGAAAATATAAGATCTGAGAAGACTTGGGCCTGACGTTTCAGAATGTCACTTCTTTTGCTAAGGGCAGACTCAACCATGTGCCCTTGGCTGACTTCTGGTTTGACTGCAGTACCTTTGATTGACTTCCATGTTCCTTACCTTCCCCCACAGACGTATTTCTTCACAATGAGCACTCCTGCTACAACTGTGACTAGCATCAATCCCACGGTGGCCAGGATAATTGGAACAGAATTTGACTTGGAATTCTTGATAAATGAAAACACACACAAAAAAAATTCAGGCATGAATATTCTAGGACTGAATTCAAAGATGCTGCTGATTCCCCTCATTTCCCTGAGTGATCTACAGTCTTTAGGCACTTCATGATGCTACTCTTTCAACCCCCCACGTGAACCATCTCAGGAGGATGAACCAGGAGAATCACACCTGGCAGAGGGTCACCAGAACTTCGACTACCTTGAAGCTGTCAGAATGGTGCAGTCTCAGTGGTGTCAGTGTCAGAGTTACACTGGAAGCCTTGGCAACTTCCTAGATCAAATGGTAATGTGACTGTTTCCTACTATCACTGTTTATAAGTCTTAGAGCTTTTAAGGGTGGAGCCAGAAAGGGAGATGATGATAACAGTGGGCTGAACGAGTCTAGAACAGGGCCATCAGCTGGAAAGAAGTTGTGCGAATGCTATATCACACGACACCAAGATTTATCTTTTTTTATTTAATTTTTGGTATTTTTTTTTTACAAATAAGCCTTCTCATATCATTGTGACCTGCTTGCTTCTGGGTGGGGAAATAGGGAGTGTGTGTTTTCATTGTATCCAAGAGGAGGTCGAGCTGGATTCTGGGACAGGTTGTGTCCCTGTGGGCGGGAGTCCTGTGCAATCACACCCACAAACACTCTGAGGACAGCCACCAGGAGTGCAGGGTGGGGCGCAGAGGAGGACCCCGCCCCTTGACAAGTACACACACCCACGCATTCTTCTTCCACTGCCTTCTTCACCCTGCCCCTTGTCAGGCCCTCACCCTCAGAAGTTAGAGAAGAGGGGACTGCAGGTTGTCCCTCTCTCATTTTACAGATTAGGAAACTGGGACCCGCAGTTTACTGCCCCAAGTCACACTGCTGGTGTAGTTTCTTTATCGGGGTTTCTTCTTTACCCACCCCCCCAATTCCAGCAGATAGTTCAGTACCACAGATCGGTAGTCAGCCCCGTAATCTGCTTCTATATCAAAACCAGCCCATTATTACCACTGTTCAGTTTTTCATTGTGAGCATACCTGGCATGACTTGGCACAGAGTTCCACCCTACCTATGGCCCAGTGCGCTTCTCTTTCACACGTGCAAAGTCCAGCCCTTTACAGCCAAACTTCTTGAGTCTTTTTCCCAAAGGACCCTGAGCCTCAGAATGTCCTCAACTCTATGCTTCTAAAACTTGGAACCACTTTATGAAATACCGTACTATTTTTTCCCCAACAAAAAACGTCAGTAGATGAGCTTATTGGGTTATATGACCCATCCTTCACCCTGACAGTTTCCTGTGCAAAGGGAAGCCTGACAGATCATGAAACCCCACTTGTACCTAATCCACATCTACTTTGACATACCTGCTTTTCTGGACTCAAAAAGTTGCTTGTGCATTTCTTTTTCAAGTCTTTTACCTCTCGAACTGGATTCACTCCACCTTGGCATTTGTCTCCTGGAATTTTCCGGTATCTGAAAGGCAGAGAAAATTTGTTAACAGAATACAAGGATACATTACTAAATTCTTGCCTATTTCCTAAAAACAAGATCTGAAAAGCTCCTCATCCTTACACCATCTTTCAGGCCTGGGGGGAGATCCACAGGGATGTTTTGGGGATATTTTGTGTATTTTCAGGCCTGGCTGCAGGGACATGCCTGCCTTTCTGCCTTAAGAGACTGTGCCAAAGGTCTGTGATCCAGGAGAGCATGTTAACACCCCATTCGAAAATGGGAGGGGGAGGGAGCCAATGAGGCTCTGTCTAAATTAACAGAAATTAATTCAATCCTTAGTCACACTAGTGCCAGTAGCCACAGGGCTGGTGGCTACTGTACCAGACACACGAGATGACAGAACATTTCCATCATCCCAGAAAGTTCTATTGGACAGTGTCTCCTAGAGCACCCTAAAGCCCTGCACAGATCTGTGTGTGGAGAAAAGCAGCTTTTCGCTCTGAACAAGGGTACTCATTTGTCACAAAGGAGAATGCCATCTCACCCATTTGTGGTCAGGTGCTCCTCTCTGCCATACAGACAAAACTCTAGGTCGTGGCCCTTCAGCTCTGGCTGTTCCACACACTTGGAGTCATTTTCTGGACGGAAGTAGCCAAAATCACTGCAAGAGTCCACAAATAAAGTATCTTTTAAATTTGCTGAAAGACAGTAACTGACTAGCAATGAAGGTTTTTGTGGGTCAGTGGATGGTTAATATTCCAGTCTTGGGTTGCCAGAAAGTAGCTCAGGAAGGCCTGTGGCATCTATAAAGAAGGTCCATTTAGAAAAACACATGGAGAGGGCTTCATTGGGGAAAACAGTTATGGATCGGGTGAGTGATCAGGAAAGGTGTGCTGGAAGATAGGACATGAGGGGAAGGCCTGGTGGACTTAGGACTAGTAGCTGGGAGCACTGAGGCTGGGAGTCCTGCACAGATCGCTCAGGCTCTGGGAAGGGAAGGCCTGCAACCTGCATGGGGTGGGGACTCATGCAACTAAGACAGAGAAATAGTGGCAACAGCCACAGAACTAAACTTAGCAATTCTTTTATTTACCTCCAAATAACTCCTTATTATGTTATTTGGAGGTATACTATGGGATATTTGCAAACCTTTTCTGCCTTCTCCACTTCCGACCCTCTTAGCTTCTTAGATGGTCCTTACTGCCAATATGAATGCCCTGTCCTGCCCTCCATTCTATGCCAACTCTCCATAGCACCCCCCATCTGCTCTCCTTTCTGTTTTCCCCAAATAAATAACACTGCCTCCTCTCCGAGCTGAACCCTGCATGAGCACCTTTGGCCCATCCTTCCCACTGCCCTGGGGCCTAGCTTCACTGACAGTGTGGGAGACACCATCAGTCCCACTCATCTGGTGGCTTCTCTCTTCCTAACCCGTAAATACAGGTGTCTTACAGGGTTCTATAACTCATTCTCTTATTTTGTATCTGCTCTCCCTTTGTGAGCTTAACTATTTGTTGCAACAAAAGCTTCCAGGTTTTACCTCTCTTGAGCTCTAGACCTCCAGTTCCAAATACCGGCTGGACATTCACCAATTAAATTATCTGCCAGAAGAACCGCAAATAAAGAAAATGTTCCAAATACACCCCTTTCTCTGTTTTCTCCTTCACACCAGCCTTGCCTATCATTTTCCTTAGGTTTGTCCATGACACTACCTTCCGTCCCCCATCTGGACCCTAGTCACTTTTTTATCGTCACTCCTGTGGCTTCCCCTCATGACGTATCTTCCAGCACACCCTTCCTGATCACTCACCCGTCAGGCTCTAATGACCTGCTTCTTCCCAGATGCACAGGGTCCAATCCTACCACTTGTCAGGGCTCAGCTCAAATGCCACCTCCTCAGCAAAGCCTCTGACCCACCTCCTTCGGCGCCAGCTGTAATAGTGTCATCTCTCCCTAAATCCCTGGGACATTTGCCACCTTCTGTTTCACAACATGATTATGTGCATCTTACCCAGAGAGTTCGCAACAAACCTTCTACTTCCAGTTTGCACTGCCCTTGCACAGCAAGTATCTAGTGAATATTTGGGGAATATAAAGCTGCTGCTAGTACTTCAAGATTTTTCTGACAAATATTTCGGGGAGAGGGTAGGGAGAACAAAGGATGTTGAGGACACCACTCCTCCAAGAGCAGGGGAAAACCTCTGGGAAAGTTTTTAGGAATTCAAGATTTCAGGGAGAGTACCCTTCCCACTCACACGTGCACATTTCCCCAGCACGTGTGGCACAGTGTGGGCTTAGGGTCTCCACTGCAGGTTCATGTCCCAGCTCTGCCACTGCCCGGAGGAGCGACTGTGGGCAAGTCAGTCCTAATCTCTCTGTACTTTCTGTTACTTCTTCCCTCTGTGAAAGGGAAAGGACAACAATGCCCTCTCACAGGCTGCTGAGATTAAATGTAAATTGCTCAGGACAGTGCCAGTCCAGTCAGTGCTCAAAAAATGCAACTGCTGTCATTACAGCTACATGATGATCAAATATAATATGCCCTTCAGGAGCCTAGAGTTTGGTGCTGGAGGCAAACCTATACACAATGATTAAAATACAGTAAGAGCTGTGACAGGGGTTCTGTGGGAGCCTAGATGAGGGAAAACTGGAAGGCTTTAAAGAGGTGCTATCTGAACTAAGCACTAAAGGAATCCACCAGGCGTGGGGTCAGGCAGGGACGTGGGAGACTTTGCAGGCTGTGGAGCAGCGTGTCCAGTGGCTCGGAGCTCTGGAGAAGCGCAGCATGTCGGAAACCAGCTCAGTAATGAAGAGCCAGCCCATGTGCAGTCAGGGACGGGGACAGCCCTTGGAGTTTCAAGGATCTCTAGCCCTACTGTAACAAAACAAGTGATGTGAGTGACACTTCCCCTGTGGAAACGGGGAGAGGAGGACCTCTGGCCATTCCACAGACAGATATGAGCCACACAGGAGGACCCCCCAGAGTCAGACTTGGGTTTGCTTGGTCCTGTATTCTGTCACCTGTGGTTTGAGGGAATATGACAAGTTCCATAAGATGACTACCTGTGAGGTGAATCAGTCCCTCTTATTTGCCTTAAGTTATCTTGCTTAGACTACCTAGGGACTCCCTCGCCCCTGTATCATCACTAACCCCAGGCCAACCACATCACTGATCCTTCAGCCTGGAGGGTCCTGAGTCTGGGAGTTCACCTTGGTGGCTTCTAAACCTTGATGGGACACAGGGACCATAAGTATACTGCTGTCACCTAGTGTCTCGGGACAGAAGCACTCTTTCTGCCTTCAGTCCTGCTGATGACCCAAAACCTAAGTGCCACCTGCTGAACTCAGGCCGGCGGGCTCTCTGCTAAAGTCCAATGTCCTCTTAGCTCCTGTGCCACTTTCCTTGGTGTTTGTACCTCATCACCTTCTCTATTTTTTAATCTCTTCCTCCTTACATACCTCCCTCCTTACTATCATTGCCAAGTCAGGATTTCTGGGGGTTGCTGCTGGCTCTGCCCAATAATTAACTGTTCAATATGATAATATTATCTGTCCAATTATTAATGACTTTGGTTCCCTTTCTCTGTGCCTCAATTTCCTTAATAAGCAGCAGCAGTTCTCTGCTCTTGGGGAAGGAGGGAAAGAAAAGGATTGAAATATTGTTCAATCCTGTAAGACAACTGTGTTCCACTTCCCCCAGCACAGGAAAGGGGCTGAGGGATGCTGGTACCAGAGGAAGTCCTCCAGGGAGCAGAGACAGACGGACGGCTGCTTGGTCACCGCATAGTCCCGGCCATTCTGACAGACGGATGACTTGCGTAGCCGTAGGAACTGTTCTTTATAGCCTAAAATGCAGCCATCTCCATAATCTCCAGGGTCTGTGGAGTGAGCCAGCCATATCATATAGTCGTTCTCTTCACCTAAAGGAAAGACAGGTTGTTCGGGAAACTGCCTGGCACAGCGCTCACCTACATGAGGCAGCTGCCAGGCGACAGGAAGAACAAGGAGAGGAAGAGTGGGGATGTCTCACTCAACCCATCGCTTTGTTTTGGAATTGTGAAGCCACATTACATTAGTTGAAGCCTACTAGCAATGGGCATTTCCTCATACCAAAGGAGGGTTATTTGCATTTCACCACTCATTTGAGTATTAGGAAAACCCTTATTTGTTTCGAAGTGGGAAGCTGGATCGAGGATCTCTAGGGTTCCTTGCAAACTGAGAGGCTGCTGGCTAGATGTCTTGTCACTGATGCCCTCGCTCAACAGGAGCAACCAGATGCTTTCCTTTAGGACAAGATGCCAATGAGCCAAAAGCATAGGTTCAGTTTCACTATGGGTTCGTTTGCTTCAAACAGAAGGGAAAACATTCTGTCTCTAGACTTTGAACTGTAGTTGACTGGATGTCAAATGAAGACTGTTGATGAGAGTTAACCTGTCACATCATCCACTCTTGGAAAAAGGACTCAAAGGCTATGGTCTAAAAACCTATGGATCAGGTTTTTATCCTTTGGGATATGAAGACCAGCACAGAGCCTGTTAAAGAGCAGGTGCTTAACAAATCTTTTCATGATGTTAAACTTTAGGCATTTTCTTCTTCCAGTGAAAAGAAATTAAACTGAATTGGCTATTTAGAAAAATGGGCTTACAAGTTTTTGGTAGGAAAGGTCAAAGAAGACACTCACAGTTCCTTTTAAGGACATCTTTAAAATCGATGGTGTAGGAGACCCACTGACGTGTCAGGAAAGTTTCAGTGAAACCCCAGATGCTGATATTCATGGACCTTGCTCCAGGTTCCGAAGCCAGGCCGGTAAAGTAGATGGGCTCCCTGGTGAACGTATAGGTTTGCCAGCACTGACCTTCGTCTGTGGAGAACCTGAAACCCCAATTAGAGAAAGATCACAACAGAGGATCAATATGTATGGGACTATCAGGAAACCACTCTGCTGTTAGGTCCAAATCAGAGAAGAACCCTCATGTTTAGGTGATAGCTTAGTTAACAGGGTAAGAAAAGGGATTCATTCAGAGCGTATGGAAGAAAATGCCTTTACAAAATTTCCTTCCAAGGAAAGAGAAAGTAGTGACCCATGTAAGAATGGGCTTCCAAATCAACAAACAGAAATGATCTATTATGAGCCTTTACTTAAGGAGTCATTCCCCATCCAGAATGTTCAGACACTTCCACAATAATCTTGTGGAGAGAAAGAAGTGGCAAAAAGTGTTAACTTGAGGAAGTCAGAGGAAAAAGCAAGCCATTTAATCTGAGTTGCTCTAAATGCAATCCCTTTAAAAACCTTCCCTACGGTTCTGCAGAATGCACACATTTAAATCAGGGCCTGCAACTTCCCCCCAGTGAACTGGAATACTTCCCACAGTTGCCCTTCATGCAGAAAGTGTGGGTGGAACGGAGCTCATGCATACTTAATCACATTGATAGGACGGCTGCTGTGCTCAATGGCCACGATGATGCCTCCGGAATCCAGGATGGTGTAGAAGTGGGGTCCTTCCAGCATCTTCGTCCAGGAGTAACCCCCATCATCTGAGATGTACACGTCCGGGATCATGACTGAGATGGCATCTCCCACGCTACCTGCAACACAATCCATCGTCTCCTCAGCACAGAGCAGCAATGAACAGACAGGACTTACTGCCAAGAGGCTAATTTTGAGTAAATTTCTTCTGATTACTTCCCATCATGCCTCTTGTGATAGAAAAAAGGCCACTGAAAATTTGGGAAAGGGGAAAGTCATGTTACTCTCTTTGATGGGAGTCTGTGAAATAACCCTAAGTACCATTATCATGCAAGAAATCCTCCAGAGGATGGTAAAAGCCATGTTCGGTGGTTTTCTTATAGGTGAATGAAGTCTGAGTGTCAGTGTGCTCAGCTACTTCTTCCCGAGGAGGGGAGGGGAGGCTCCTTACCATGTGCGATGACTATGCCCACAGCATTTGGCTCTGAGAGGGGGGCCATTGGAACGTTTAGTTTTTGGGAGATGCTGTAGGAAGCGTGAATATGAAGGCTGCACTGTGAAAAGAAATCAAAACTTAGATTAAAACCAAAGGCGGAATTTTTTACTCATTCACAGAGCCTTCTAATAACTCTAACCCAGACCTCAGTGGGATACTCTTTTTTAAAAATTATGGTAAAATACACATACCATAACAATTACCACTTTAACCATCTTTAAGTGTGCAGTTCAATAGTGTAAGTACATTCACACTATTGTGCAACCATCACCACCATCCTTCTCTAGAACTTTTTAATCTTGCAAAACTACTAACTCCCCGTTCCACACAAATAAACCTGATGAATGCCTGACACATTACAGATACTGTACAGGACGTGGTGGTGATTGGAAATAAGACCTAGTTCTGTGTGTGTGTGTGTGTGTGTGTGTGTGTTTTAATCCTCATCCAAAGATATGTTTAGAGAAGGAGGAGGAGGGGCAGAGAGGGAGAAAGGAGAGAAAGAGAGAGAAACATCAATCTGTTGCCTCCCATACACACCCCAACCGGGGATATAACCCACAACCTAGGTATGTGACCTGACTGGACCAGAAATCGAACCCACAACCTTTTGGTGTACAGGATGATGCTCCAACCAACTAAGCCACCTCGCCAGGATCCAGCCTTGTCTTTAAGAAATACTTCTTGTCCTAGATGGTTGGGGGGGGAGGACACTTATGTAATACCCTTTGTAATACTTTTAGCGGAAAAAAAAAAAAAAAAGAAATACTTCTCGTCCTAGATGGTTTGGCTCAGTGGATAGAGCGTTGGCCTGCAGACTGAAGGGTCCCAGGTTCGATTCCAGTCAAAGGCACATGCCTGGGTTGTGGGCTCGATCCCCAGTAGGGGGCATGCAGGAGGCAGCCAATCAGTGATTCTCTTTCATCATTGATGTTTCTATCTCTCTCTCCCTCTCCCTTCCTCTCTGAAATTAGTAAAAACATATTTTAAAAAAGAGAAATATTTCTCTAAAACTAGTTGAGGTACAACGCAGAGCAAAAGTTACTGCTTTAAAAGAGGTTCAAATTGGTTAAAATGTTAATTTTATGTCATGTATATTTTACTACAAAAAAAAGAGGTTCAGGCAAACTATTAATAAAACAAAGAGGAATGGTTGATTCTAACTGAAGATGGGCAGTGAGGATGGTTAGGATTTCACAAGTTCTAATGAATCGGGGCGGGGGAGACAGGCCAGCTTTCCCAGGAACAACGAGGGCAAGGCCACAGGGGCAGGGGCACATGTGGGGGTTGAGGAGCAGCAGAGGATGATAACAAGGGGTGTGTCAGTGATGAAATGGGAAGTGACATCGAAAAGGCAGAAGACAGTCTGCCAGAGGAGGAGAGGTCCTTCAGTCACCAGGTGGAAGCCTTTATTCACAGGCAAAGGGGAGCCAGGAAATGTTAAGGAGGGAGGGGCATGGGAGCGGGAAGAGAGCCAGGCAAGCAGAGGCCACTGGAGGCCCGCCCCTCCTGGGGCACGCAGGGGGGTGGGGAAAAGGGAGCAGAAGGGAAAGACTCCACAGTACTGCTGAGTAGAAGGGAGAGAGCATTGTGGGTGGGGAAGGTACACTTAATCTCACACTGTGAGGCTCTGAAAACAAAACAGAAAACCCAGCCTAGAAGAGTAGAGTGCATGTTAGCCACAGGTATTGAGGAGAGCTTAGAACTACCCAAACTGTCATTTTTGAAAGAAAACTCTTAGTGCTCCCCTAAGCACCTTTCAGATTCTGAAAGAGCCAGGCACAAAGCTTGTTTCTCTTTTCTTTTTCTCTTGCCTGTCAAGACCTGTCACTCTCAGAATCTGGGATTTCCTGAGCAACACCTTTGTATTCCTAGTTCTAGGTCTCTCCTAGGGGTCACCACCTGCACCCCCCAGTTATGTGGCACCCAGGCAGAGGGGAAGACAAGGCCAAGTTCTCTTCTCTTGTTAATGGCCAGCACGGCTTTGCCCTGCTCAGGAACGGCTGGCCTGTGGCTTTTGCAGAATTCCTAATGTCTCAGAGCTGCCGTGCTGACTCCTAACTAATCCCCGACCCATATGTCCATTCTGTTTCCATTCAGCAGTTTTGCAAAACACAAATTGTTAGCCCTCAGTTTTGTTTTTCTTTAGAAGACAATCCATAGTATCTGGGCCTTTCTTCGCAGTCCCTAGTTCCTACATTCTAAGTTAACTTCATTACTCTCATTTTCAAGCTTTCCACCTTTACCTGTAACCTAATCAAGTACTAAACTTCACTATTCAAAGAACTGGCACAATAAGAGCAGAACAGAGTGGCTGCTCTGCTCCAAATACATATGACAATTGGAGTAAAACAAACCTCATTCTTATTTTTTGCCGTAGCATCACATTCACTGTTCTCGGGCTTCCTCAGGTGCTTCCACCTTCCTCCTTGGTCAAAAGTGATCATAGTCTGGATAGAATTATCTGAATGGGAAGAGAATGATGTTAAGCCCTATACACTGGAAGAACCCTAATAAGTTCTGTTTCTCCAACCAACTGAGCCATACCGGCCAGGGCTTAATAAATATTGTTGTGTGCCCACTATGTGAAACAAAACTGAAAAAAACAACAAACAAAAAACCACACACACAAAAATACCACATCTTTGTGAAACTACATTCTAGTAGGCTGAGACAGACAAACAGTAGACGTGGTAAACAGGTAAATTCATAGTATGTTAGAAAATGGAAAAATCTGCATAGTTAGAGGGGGACTGACAGTGTGTGTGTGTGAATGGGGGAGGGCAGACTGAAATTTAGAAGAGGATAGTCAATGGCAGGTCTCATTCAGAAAGTAAATATGAGCAGACTGGAGGGAAGAGATGTCAGCCCTGCAGATATTTGGAAAACAGAGAACAGTCCATGCACATCTCCAAACCACAAGCATGTGAACCTGGTGGATTTAGGGGGATTGGCAGAGAACTGAGAGCTAGAGTGACTACAGTAGAGGGAGAGGGAGAGAAGAGGGAGAAGTGAGGTCAGGGAGGAAATAGGGGGCCAAGATCACTTGGCCTTGTGGACCATTGCAAGGTCTTTACAAAAACAAACAGCCCACCTCCTATAAAAGAATATGTAAATAAACAAAACCTTCAGAGACTCCCTGGGTGGTCAGCTCTGTGCTCTAGACTAGAGTAATGTGTGTGTTTGCATAAGTAAGCTTTAATAAAGGTGAGCACTGCAAAGCACTGAGCAGAACGCAAGAAGCCTGGCTGGCTACTGCTGTGCCCCCTCTCTTTCTTAGTTCTATTTATCATAACTCACTTAAAAGTATAGCCAGAATTGACACAGGTAGGCTGATGGCTAAGGTAAGCAATCTTTCTGGGGGACAGGGCCATCAGTCTCCCCAGAGGCCTCTACTCTCACCATGTTCAGCTGAAGGACAGCTGTGCCAAGCAAGACTCACCTTCAGAGAGCACACTTGTTATGTAGACCCCACGGAGGGAGGTCACATTGGTGAAGTCCGTCTCACCACCTGTGGTGGTGTAGAGATGTCGGTCCAAAGACTTGGAATAGACAATACCTCGATCGTCAGAGGTAAAGATGGTGCCAAACCCAGTATCTGAAATAGGCAAACAAACAAAAACACTATGTCTTGGGAGGGAACAGCGAGGGAACAAAAGTCTAACCATACACATGAGTGAATTATTGCACATTAGCCAACCATCTCTCTTCATGATATAGACACAGACCAGAGATCCAATCAAGGTTTGATATTCAAGATCTTTTTTATTTTATTTTGATACTCCAGATCTTTGATCCTCATGTCCATCTTTAATTCTAGTATCCCTGTTACTTAGTGCTTGGAATATGGCAGGTTCTGAGTTTGTTGAATGAGTTAATCAGATGCTACAGAAAAGCTCTTCCAAGATGTATTTTGGTGGCAGAGGCACTGTATTTAGATTCATAGCTTACACTTCTGTTAATCTTAACCTCTGGAGCAATGCTTCTCAAACTGCCTATGATGAAAGATCAACTTTTAAATTTCCACTATGTCACAAACCAATGCTTTTGTAAAATAGCATAAAAATTTATCACTAGAACAATGAAATATAACCATCAACTCTTTTATCATTAGATTAAACACATCTAAAATTACTTTGTCAAATAGCTATAAGAGCTTCTAAATTCTGCTCTCACTTTCTCTACTTATTTGGTAACAGAGTTTGCAAATTAGTACCCATCCTCTGAGCATTCTTTGAGCAGCATTGTTGTAGACCCTTGGATATGCACACAAACGAGACAATGTCAAAACAAGTGGCCCTTTTTAACAGAGGTTACACTTTCTAAGACAAAATACTCAAGTAGGGCACTAATAAATTCCTAGGGGTAAGAGAAAAAGCTACTAAAAGTAGGGCTTGCAGCTTTGATCTCTATAAATTCAAGAGTGGGCCTCTGAAACGCTCTTACCTCCAGGCTCATCTACGTGCATGAACACCATGTCATCACTGGCTGCTAGAATAGAGTAGAACTGCTCCTGCCCCACAGAGGGCAGCTGGGCCATGCTCCACGTGTCCCCTTGATCAGTTGACACATGAATCCTTCTTGTTGTATCCTGGAACAAATGCCAACATATATCTTTTTAATTTTCTTCCAAGGTACCATGTGCAGGGACATACTAGGTACATTATTAATAATTACAAGTATCATTATCCATTTCCTCACTGGGTATAACTGATATAAATGAAAGGTCCCAGTACCAACTACCTAGCAATTTCCAACCTCTAGCAAAGTTCCAGGCAATGTGACAATCCGTTTTATTGTAGCAAAACTATCCTGGCTTCTTCATTCTAGTGGGGCCTGTAAGCTATTATCCTCCCAACCTCTGACCTAGTTCCTTCATCGGAGCCAAGGATGTCATGGTACCATCCCTGACTTGGCTTTACAGCCATTCATATATGCGTGCTCAGATCATTCTTAAGTGAGGATTGCTGCATAAAGATTTGGTCTCTTTGACACAGTGTTGGTATAATCCAAAGAAGTAGATAACAAAGGGTCTAGAAAATGGAGACGAAAGCCATGCTTGGGTGATCACAAGGAAGTCAATATGTGACATCTCTTTATGGAAGTCTCTCAGAACAGCGATAAGGAGGGGAATGTGCACCGGCTGGGAAGAGGCCAAGGAGTGTCAGAAATTAATAAAAGGAATCTGATCAGGGCTTTAGCTGTTAAAAGGAGTCTGTTAAGGATGTAATTAACACATACTTCCTCATAAATAGTTTAAAATAGCTACTAGATACAACTAGCTAGGGCATGAGACTGACTTCCAGGGCCTCCTTATGTTAAATACTCTTTAAAGTTCAGTGACACGTACAGTTATGTATTTTTCTAAAACTTATACACTTAGATGTTCACTTTGAATCTTACTCTCATTGTTACAGGTAGAAGTTAAAGTTCAAAAACACACAGTGGAATTTTAGTTTTGTATAATTGTAGTACAGTATACGAGGCTATGTCTGGAATCAGTCTGATTTCCACCAGGGTTCCACCTCAGGGTGACTCCAGGCAAGTTACTCAGTTTGCTCACATAGAAATTGAAGTAACAGTATTAGCTTAAAGGGTTGTTGGGAGGATAATTACAAAACTGCTCGAGGGAGTTACTGTAGTTACTGTCTGCTTAGCCATCTCCAATTCTCTCTGAACCCCCTCTAACCAGTTTTTTCACCTGAGCACTGCGATGAAACGGCTTTAGTCAAGCTCACCAACAACCTCCATTTTGCCAGCTCCAGTGGCTAATTCCCAGCACTCACCTAATTCAACATCTCAGCTAAGTTTAGCACAGCTGACCACTTCGTCCTTCCTGAAACACCTTTTTCACGTGGCTTTCACAATCTCGCATTGTCCTATTCGCCCTGCCTCACTGGTCCCTCCCTCCCAGTCTTCTTTGCTGGGCTCTCCATCTCCTTCCAACCTTTCAGTGGTGGGTGCTTCAGGGCGTGCTCAGTCCTCCCACTCTGCTCTATGTACTCATCCTCCAGAAGATATCATCTAATCACATGGCTCTAAACACATATAATTTGGGGAGATACCCAAATACTAACATGACATTTCCACTTAGATATCTAACAGGCATCTCACATCCAAAACTGAATTCTTTTTTTTTCTTTTAAATATATTTTATTGATTTTTTACAGAGAGGAAGGGAGAGAGATAGAGAGTTAGAAACATCGATGAGAGAGAAACATCGATCAGCCGCCTCCTGCACATCTCCCACTGGGGATGTGCCCGCAACCCAGGTACATGCCCTTGACTGGAACCGAACCCGGGACCCTTGAGTCCGCAGGCCGACGCTCTATCCACTGAGCCAAACCGGTTTCGGCCAAAACTGAATTCTTGATCTTCCTCCCCCAAACATGCTTCAGTCTTTGCCATTTTAGTAAATGGTACCACCATTCAGTCAGTTGCTCGGGCCAAAGACTCTAAAGTTATCTTTAGTTTCTCTCATTCTCTCACAATCCACATTAATCCATCAGCAAATCCTATTGGCAATACATTGAAAAACACACCCACCATCTCACCACTTGCCCCCTCTCCCCCCTTACACTACTCTAATGGCCTCCCAGCTGCTCTGGCTCTGCCGTTCCTGCCCCGGCAGACGACTCTGCGCATACTTCTTCTGTCAAGAAGTCAGATTACACCACACCCTGCTCACAACCCGTTCCCAGCTTCCCAACACAACAAGAATAAAAGCCAAGGTCTTAATCACCACTTATAAAGGCCCTGTATGATCTGGCCGCTGGCTCCTCCTCTTTGGACTGCCCTTGTCACTTTTCTTCGATATGTCAGGCATGCTCCAGCCTGAGGTCTGTGCACGTCCTGTTCCCTGAGCCTAGATGTCCACATAGCTATGCTCTCACCCCAGTCAGGTCTCAGAGAGCACGTCCAAACCACCCCACCTAAAACAGCCCTGCTCCAATTCCTGTCACTTTCTATTTCCTTATGCTGCTTTAGATTTCTTCGTAGCTTTAATCCTGACCTGATATTACATCATATTTATAAGTTTAGTGTCTATCTCCCCTACTTAACTATAAGCTCTGTGAACAGGACATTTATCTGTTTTGTTCACTGTTATGTACTCAATGAATGTCACCTATTTCTATTATTATTACTGAAACAAATGGATTGCATATATCCATGTCCGAGTAAAGCCCAAACACTGCGTCTACATATCCCAAAACAGACACCAGAATTCGTGTGGTGGTGACAGGCTGAAGTGCCAGGATAGCCCAGAAGAGTCAATCAGTCTCTAAAAGAATCGCCCGCAAATCTTAGAGTGATATCAAATACCAGTGGCCTGGTGCACATATTCATGCACATTTATAGGAAATTAATTAGAAGAAATATTTTAATATCGCTATTCGCCCTTTCTCTATAATAGAAGTGTCAGAGATGAAAGAAAATTAGTAAAATGTATATGAAAATAATATATAAATTGATTAATAAACAATAACATGATACAACAACAAAGACATGATATAAAGACAACATTGATAAAAACAATGACTGATAAATTGATTAAACTTATTCTAATATCTCCCTGTATACCACATTAAGAGTAAAAACACTTACAGAGTGCTTGACTAATATCCCTTGTGATGAAGTATTTACAATACAACTTTAACGTCACACATTCTTCAAACATGAGAGAAAGTAACATATAACTGACCATGTCTGAAAACGGGTTCAGGTAGGAATATTCCTACTCTGTCTAGAGTTTGTCCTTGTGATTTATTAATAATCATCGCAAATGCTGGCATCACGGGAAACTGTCTTCAAATTAATTTAAATGGGAGGCCAGTGTCATATGGGAACAGTTGTGCCAATAGTTAGTCTTCAGACATATTCTGTCAACGCCACCGCTTTCTTTCAGCTTCAGAATGTCAACAAAAACAACCAAATTCACAATCGACAATGACAGATAGAAACGCACGTGTATGATCGGCACCAGTGAGAGTTTTACATGTATTGCACATGCTCGAGTCAACATTTATAAATTGCCAGTGTGCGTCATATGTACCGGCTGCTCAGTATGGTTGGTCACTTAGCCTTTTATATATATAGATTGCAAAAAGTCCAAGGAGTAAAAGGGATCTATAGGAGGCATATTTACAGAAACGTTAGAATCCAAAGAGACGCGGCAAACACTCACCTTGTCAGCCATCACAGAGGCAAAAAGGAAACGTCCCCCAAGACCAAATGAGTAGATTTTCACACCAATGGTTTTGAAGCTTTTTCCCAAATCTGAAGTCCTCCATAATTCCAGTGCCCCAAGGTCAGCTTCTTAAACAAGATGAAGTAGTAATTAAAATGTCACTTCCTAGTGAGCCTCTAGTTCAGACAGCTGTTTTAGAATTGTTCTGAATTTTATAGCTACAGGATTTCTAATCCTATGGATGTTAATCAAATGAGGATATAAATTGATGTGGCATTAGACACAGGGAATTCACATGTGGGTTTTATGTTTATACATGTGAGGTTATACCTTGGACAGATAGAGTTTAGTTAATTCCAATACAATGTTGCATAAAAAATCACAGCCACAGCCCTGGCTGGTTTGGCTCAGTGGATGGAGTGTCGGCCTGCGGACTGAAGGGTCCCGGGTTCGATTCTGGTCAAGGGCACATGCCTGGGTGGTGGGCTTGGTCCCCAGTGGGAGACATGCAGGGGGCAGCCAATCAGTGATTCTCTCTCATCATTGATGTTTCTATCTCTCTTTCCCTCTCCCTTCCTCTCTGAAATCAATATATATTTTAAAAAAAATCACAGCCACAGCATCCTATTTACTTTCTTCATGACATAATTTGAAATTATCTTATTCTATTTTAAGTTGTTTGAGTTTTGGTTTTCTTGTTGGTCATCTATCTCTTCATCCCTACTTGAATTTAACATGAGAGTAGCCTTGGGTCTCTTATTCTCTTCATCCTTAGATAGTGTTTAGCATACTACTACAGGTGCTCAAATGAATAAATGAATGAATTTGTTGAATGAATAAATAAAAAATTACGCTTTCTGCTTTAAAACTGTGCCACTGATTGGAAAGCCACTGGCTTCCACTGATAAACACTATCCATGCTCTTTCGCAGAAATCACCAGGCATTTCGATCTGTTACTGTTTGTAGCTTAATGTTTACTTTATGTAAATACACTGCTGAAATTAAGTATAGCATCTCTGTGTACAGCCTGCAGTTTTATCTGATCTAGGCACAGTATAGTAATTAGGTTGTACTTTCAAGATTTTAAAAAATAATTAACAGCTATATTAGCTATTAAAATTATAGAAGAATGGAAGGAACTTTGATATTTCTACCTCTTATGACCCAGAATATTCTATCACGAATGGATGGGACACTCTTCTGGGACTAAAATATACTTACTGCAGGAGCCATTCACATGGGTAGTAAAGAAGATGGTGTTTTCTGATCCCCTGCAATGAGGCAAAGACAGGGAAAAGACATGGTTCCAGGTGTTAACGCAATGTCAACCTTTGTCACAAAGCTCCAAGCAAGTCTAGTAAGCCTCCTCCATAGGTACTAGTGAAAGCAGCAACTCTGGACTCTGACACCTCACTATTAGGGTTCCCCAGAGCATGGCTCCAGGCATCTGCCACAGTCCTCTGAACTTCTCTTCCAGCTTGTCTAACTGGTCTACCTACACTCTCCAGATCTGCCTCTAGCATTTGCTCTTACTGCTTTCTCCCGAAAATGCTTTTCTCTTGTGTAACCACATCATACCCCTGCAATTGCCAGTCTGTAGCTTACAATCTAGCTCTTCCGTGAAGCTTTCCCTGTCACTCCAGCTAGAGGCTTCTTTGCTGCAAACTTCTAGAGCAGGGGTTCTCAACCAGGGGTGATTTTGCTCCCCAAGGGACATTTCTGGTTGTCACTTCCGGAGAAAGAGAAGTTATTACTAGTATATAGTGGGTAGAGGCCAGAGATGCTGCTAAACATCCTACAAGGCCCAGGACGCCTCCACAACAAAGAACAGTCCGGTCCAAAATGTCCTTAGTGCTGAGATGGAGAGGCTCTGCTGGAAAGCGCGTGCATTCCTCAGCCTCCCACTTAGCTACGCTAATCACTGATGTGTGCCTTATCTCTTCCACTACACTGTTGGGCAGGTACTAAGTTTTATGTTTTGTTGTTCCCCCTCAGAACCTAGCTTAATGCTTTGCATGAGCTAAATAATTTAGTTCTTTCATCTCAAACAGACAACTGGGTCAGAGGTTGAATTATTTAAACTTTAACTTGGAAAGGGAGTTTATAGGGAACTCGATTCAGACCCATACTACTTATAGATTAGCCCTGGCAAAGGGGCTGGCTCTGCGCATGTTCTTTCAGAACTTCAGTTGTCAGCTCCTAGAGATCAAAGATCTAAAAGGTGAGTAAACAGTTATCAGCAACCCAGTTAGCTTATACTTAGACACTAATCAAAGAAACGAGTTACAAAAGTAAAAAATCTTGTATAGAATATAAAATAAAATACCATTTTAAGCCCTAGCCAGTTTGCCTCAGTGGATAGAGCATCAGCCTGCGGACTAGAAGGTTCTGGGTTCGATTCTGGGCAAGGGCACATGCCTGGGTTGTGAGCTCAATCCCCAGTAGGGGATGTGCAGGAGGCAGCCGATCAATGATTCTCTCTCATCATTGATGTTTCTCTCTCCCCGTCTCCCTTCCTCTCTGAAATCAATAAAAGTCTATTTTTAAAAAATGCCATTTTAAAATAACTCTTTAGTTTTAAAGATGACCTTTCTGTTTGTTTCTTTTAGCTTTATTGAAGTATAATTTACAAATGAAATTGTAAGATATTTAAAGTGTACCTTGTGGTGATATGTACATAAAGACCAGTTTTAGTGATCAAAATTCCTATAGTTTTGATTACATCCTACAGTGAAACAATTTGTTAACTTAGTTACTTTAAAGACTACTTCCTTCCATAAAAGACCATGTAAGTAACAAACCCATAAAATGAAAGCAGCTATGGCATGGGTACCAGAGTGGTGCTACAAAAACCTCACCTAACCAGCATTTTCCAGAAAAGCAACATTTTTTAGTATTTTAGTGAATTTTGGTAGATATATTTGCCAATGTCTATATCACAAATGTTCCTGACTCCCTAAATAGAGGACATTAAGTATGAAACTCTCCCTTGGGATTGTGGGTCACTGAGCATCACCCCTATGAAACTAGAACATGGTGTGCCCGTTAGAAGTTACTGCGGTGTATGCGCTCTGGATCTGGCACTGAATAATTTCATCCTGTTATGTTCTGTCTTTGCTCTGCAGTTCTCCTGGTGTGCGCTTGTTGTCAGTACTCATGTACCCACCTCTGGCAATAATTTGCTATTAACTAGGAAACAGATGAACAAATTTGCTGAAATTAGCCAAAGAGAAAGAACAAAGAGGCTCTAAGCAAGGGTCTGAGCCTAATCAAGAATTTCAGAGGTATAAAGGCTCTTAATTCTTGTCCAGACATCTCCCAAATCCTCAAACAAATCTCTGTTCATAGACAGAAGGGAAAAACTAAACCCCAGAGAGGTTAAGCCACTGACTAGCAGCAGAGACGGTTAGGACTTGACTCCCTGGTCAGAGCCCCCTACAGCCCCTTTAAGCAGGCACCTGAGGGGGTCCCCGAGAAAAGTGAATGAGTTTTGGTGCATGGACGGTGTGACTGGCGTTGCAAAGGGACCATTCCTCATAACTGAAATGAGTCTCTAGATGAAGGGGTGTCAGTCTGGGGAGGGGGGAGGGGCAGAGAAGTACCTAAGTCCCCAAATCAAAGCTGTATTTTATGCTATTCCAACTGAAGTCACTATTTATGGAGAATAAACCTCTTATCAGCAGCAGCTACCCAGTTGTGAGCCTTGTTTTCCACTTTATGTTGTAACGTTTAGTGAGGCTACGTCGTCTTTCCTGGCAGACTGAGAAGCTCCCCCAGGTCGAGGCCTGTGTCATACCCCCTCTCGTATCCCTTGTGGCACCCTGAAGAGTATTTGGCACATAGTAAGTGCTCAACATTTAGTCATGTGACTTTTGGCAGCGCTGTCAGGAACGGTTTAGGGCTCTGCACAGATGGAGTCTTCTGTTACTCACCATTTGGCCAAACATACTGCTTTGTGGATTTCTTCCCATTTTCCCCCAAAATTCTTGGACACCCACAGGCCATTCTGAAAGATTATAAATGACTTATCAAAATTCCAGCTTTATCCTGTGCAGCTGCTTGTATGACCTTTAATAATTCACATCTAATCATCTGGGACAGTAAACATACACTGACGTTCCATCTGAGCTGCCTGAGCTCCAGAGACACATGGTTTACAGGGGCCCCGTCGAAGGCTGGGAGGTTCCAAGTAACAAATGCTTAAGAAGTGCCTACTATGTGCCAGGCACTGTTCCAGACGTTGCACTGGGGATGCAAAGACGAGTAAGACACACTCCCTGCTCTCAAGGAGCTCACAGTTAACTAGAGGCCCAGATAAGAAGATGTGATACGATGGGTCAGTGTTATGGAAGCATGGTCTCTCGGGGAAGAGTAGGGAAAAGAAGAACGTTGCATCAAAGACGGTTTGTGAAGGAGACAGTTGAACTGGGTCTTAAATGATGAGCAGTGTAACCAAAAAAAGGCAAATGGGGAGAGGAGATGTTAGGACTAGCAAAGGCAGGGAGGCGATAAGCATGGTGGTGTGTGCGGAAGCACAGTTCCCAGTGAGGGGAGGAACAACTAACGCAGGAAAGAGGGAGGAGGAACCCTCGGATGACAGTGGGAAAGGTGGACTGCAGAATGTCCAAACCAGAAGCAGGAAAAGCAGTGCATAACGCGCCACATCTCACTCATGAAGAGTTAGTGAGGCACTGCCCCATGGCTGTG